GTGGTCCGCGGCCATTTTCCGCCCTGACACGTGGTCCGCAGCCATTTTTCTGCCCGTGACATATGGTCTGCGGCCATTTTTCCACCCGTGACACGTGGTCCGCCACCATTTTTCCGCCCGTGACACGTGGTCCACGGCCATTTTCCGCCCGTGACACGTGGTCCACGGCCATTTTCCGCCCGTGACACGTGGTCGTAGGGAGGGGGACGCTCCCTCCAAGCAATAGCCGCCTCCCTGTCCTCCATGCCAGAACGGATTAACGGTAATTACATTGAACCTTACGGGGAAATTTGCTTCGGGGTGCGACCAATTCGGGTTGCAACCAGAGTCACGGAACGAATTAAATTCGTAACCCGAGGTACCACTGTATTTGGGTTGATAAAAAATGTATTTCTTGTTGCCGTCACTTGTTTATGGATGACGTATTTCCAAAGCTTTGGAAAGCATGGGGAATGTTTTCCTAAAGTCGTCTTAACGGGCTGACATAACCAATGATACATGCCAGCCTTCATCATCCCTGTAAGGATCTATATGGTGTTCAGAGCAGCCAAGAATGATTTATCTTAGATCAATAATGTTTGAAGATCTCCCCGGTTCATGGGTCAGCCTGTTCCACTGGCTAACCGCTCCTGCAGCCAGGAAATTCCTTCTCCTGGCTTATAGGACTGAGCCGTTGGATCTGGTCCTGTCCTCTCAAGCCACGGAGAATAAGATCACTCCCTCTTCTATGCCATGAGCAAAAACCGAACGCAGGTCTTGCAGCTTTAAGACCCTCCATAAGGTGAGGAGCAGATCATGTGGGGCTCAACATTAGAGAGATCATCTTCAAAGGGTTCGGGACAAGCGATGAAATCTGAACTGGGCTGTTCCCGGTTTTATTTTCAGTCTCGCCCAGCGGAATGCCAGGAGCCTTTTCCGCATGCCCCATCTCAACCTGTTTCTCCACTATGCCCAGGAACTTGCCCAGTCCTTACTCAGCGTGGTGCCCTCACAGCAGGGTACAAAGACTCTCGACCGGACAGGCACTCTGTCCCTTTAAAAGAAGGAAAAGCACCCGGCTTTCGTTCTCCTGGAAAGGCGATGGCGTCTGAATAGTTGTGGTTACGCCGTCAGCAGGGTGGTGCCCGCCTGCAGTCACATTCCTCGAACCGTGGAGCAAGAGCAGCTTGGAGGCCCAGCCCGAACGTAGCCTAGTTCTCACGGAGCCAGCCAACCTATTTTCCAGCTGCAGGTGGGGCCTTGCATGACTCAACGCAGCGCCAGGCGCACAGATGCCAGCGTCTCCGGAACGAGGAAGCAATCGATCCGTGGTAGATTGTCCTCCTCCGTTCAGCCCTGGTGCCCGGTGGGAAAGTGGACCAGCTTTGCTTCACCTCCCATGACGCTTCGTTGATGCTATTCAGGGTCTGGTGGCCCCTTCTTGTTGTATAAAGCAGAAGAACCCAACGATTGCCCTTCGCTTGGATTTTAAACCAAGGTTGTTCCTCTGCTAGATTTGGCTGTGGAGAGTGTTCGATCAAGCAACACAGGGTTAGGGGTGCTGTGCTGGTGTATCAATACATTCAGCCCAGGAACGTTTTGAAACCCCCCAAAGGGAGGATGCTCTGGGTCTGACAATCAGCACGCCCCGACTTATGCATTTCTTTTTCCTATATCCAACCCCAAGTCCAGCAGAAAAGCCAGCGTCCCGTCTTTTCTTCTGTGAAGGGCGGGCATGCGTTCTGCCCTGCGACGGTCTTGGGATTCCTTTTAAAAATAGTAGCAATTCCTCTGCGAGAGCCGGGACTGTGGGGTGGAGGTCGCCCCGCAAGCGTTGCAGAGCGCAGCCTGTGGCTTTGTGGGGTGTGCGCTAGGACCCAGCTGTTGCCAGCAGCTGGCTGAATTGGAGGGCCTCCCGTTCTTTCAGTAGGGGTGGTTTGCAGAAAAAGATCATTCTTAGAAATCTCTTTTGTGCCTGATAGTTATAACCGAGGGACTTCATACTTATCAGATGCTGCCAGTCCTGCGGTCTAACCGTTGCTGGCCTTCTGAATGCACCAGGAGCTGTTCAGATGGAGGCTCCCTTGCTAGGGGACTGAAGGAATGGGGGTTATATCTTTAGGGGAGATGGGATGGAAAGGTCAACACCTCGTGAAGATCCCTGGCCTTAGCTTTTGCTTCTCGTCCCATTGAGAGGTTTCTTTCCAGCTCAGGACTCCAGATCTGTATCTTGCATGACTGCACCAGCACGGTGCCCCAAGACCTAGCTGTAGCTCTCAGGTGGGAGTAAATGTGTTGGACAGGCAGCAAATTGACGAGTCCTTCCTCTTTCATTCACAGCAGAGATGTACACGGGGCTACAGTTTGGTGAGCGTGTGATGCCAGCTGTAGGAACTTGACTTTGGGCAGACATGTCTGGGCACAGGGCCACCTTTGGGGTGTTTGAGTTCCCGTTCCTGCCGGATGGAGCTGAAAGATGGGCCCGTTTGCAAATTGCCAATGGGCAAGCGGGGAGGACAGCAAATTGAATCGGGTCATTTCTGGAGTTGGTACCGGTGGATAAAGGGCATCCTGCTAGGATCCCTGGAGATTAGGTGGTTAGTGTGGTGCACGATCTAGAATGAAGAGAAGGAGAAAGAGAAGGGGAAAGAAGAAGGGAGGAGGAGGAAGAGGAGGAGAGGAAGAGGTTGTTACTGTAGTTGTATTTGAATTGTGGCCTGCTCTCAAAACACCTTTTTGGCAACTCATCGTTTTCTGTATTGCATTATCATAACCTTGCAAATACCTTCGTCTGAGCGCCACAGTTGCTCTGAGAACCGGGGATTTTCCTCACTCCCTCTGCTTGACTCATTCCTGCGCTTATCCTGACAATTTCACCTTGACTGGTTTGGCAGGAAAAGCAGCACGTTGTTAGGGCTAAAGCGGGAAGGCGGAGGGATACGGTCTCCCCTTCACGTTCTCCCCATTTGGCTGTGAGGTTCAGCAAAATCCTCAGGGCCGTGGCGGTTTTGGTGTAGGAAGCGGGAGAGGGGAAGTCTGTTTCCTAGCATGGACATTTTGCAAGGCAAGTGCTGAGGTCTGGAAGAGCGTCTTAAAACGGGGCTCCTGCCAGTAAATCGGTGACTTTAGAAAATCAGATTAAAAGCCAATACGGTTGGCATTCTGTTCCTAGGGGAAGCCCAGAAACTTGACCAATGGCTGTCCTTTTCCATTTCTTTCTTAAAAAGGGTTCTCCTGCACCTATTTCTTCCTTTAGACCTTTCCCTTGCGTTCATCCTTCTGCACACAAGCGCACGCTCTTAGTTTGCTCAGTTCTTTGGGAGCAGAACAGAACTTTGTTCCTTCCAACAGCATCGCCTCCCTGAAAATCAGTCCCAACCCCCTGGCCGCCCTGAGCAAACTGTTGGAGAGAGAAAACAGTCTTGCAGACCCTTAAAGGATCTGTGGTTGGCAAACCTCTCGGGGTACAAAGTCCTTTGGGTCATGGAAATTTTCAGACAAGAGCATTAACTCTAAATGTTTTGACTTCAGACACAAGAATTATCTTTAGCGAGCGATAATCCAAACCCGAGAATCCGTGCAGAATGTTTCTGGATAGTGACCGATTTTTAACTAAAAACAAGGGGGATGTGCAAGGAAATGTTGCAATATGAGTTTCTCCTTAGGGTTCTGGCAAGTCCAGCCCCTGTGGTGGATACCCCATTTTATTCATCATCTGGCTTCTATAAATTAAAAACTGCAATTCCAATCCTATCATTTGTAGCCTAAACCAAGTAAGACCAACACTTGCTTAATCAGGCTGAAAAAAGAGGATTCATTTCTAGCTTGAGAAGTAGAGTTTATCTGTTTCCACTGTCTATCTGGGTGGGTTTTAATATTTAATTAATATTTAATATCAAACGGTGTCTGATTTTTCCTACAAACAGGGTGAATTGCCCCTGAATGCCATCCAAATACAGTTTGAAGAAAACCAGAAGACTGCTTTTTTAATAGAAGGTAGGCCCCTGCTTGCACATATGAGACTTTTCACGTGTGTGTGTGTGTCTGTGTTTGGATATCAGGGGAAGGGATTAAAGATGGATTTGCACAGAGGACAAATCAAACTGGTTCTAGGACTCCCGTTTCTAGAGCAAGCTAGAGATGATGCCACTAAAATTCCCAGGATTCCCTAAGGATTGGCTAGGAACTCTGGGAGTTTGGGAACCAGGATTCAGAAGATAGTTCAGATCGACGAGGTAACCTTTTGGGTGGTCAGGCTGAAAATACTACAAAATGCAAGGTCGGATGAAAATCACAGGAAGCCATTTTCGCCTTGAGAAAAGAAGATGGAGGGAGGATATGGTGACCAAATTCTCAACATCATGTAGAAGATTCAGAGTGTAGGACGCACAATAAAGGATTTATGTTACAGGAATGTAAATGATGGATTTCTGGTTGAAATGTTATGTTTCTAAAACTCAGCAAGTCTGTGGTATGGAAGTTTATCTCTGGGTTGTTATAACATGTGAATTGCAATCACTGAAGCTGTGTTTCTCAACCTTGGCCACTTTACGATGGGTGGACTTCGACTCCCAGAATTTCCCAGCTAGCATGGCTGGCTGGGGAATTCTGGGAGTTGAAGTCCACCCATCTTAAAGTGGCCAAGGTTGAGAAACACTGCATTGGAGGTTGATAATTTTGGGCTCAAGCATCTACCCTGCCAGAGGGAGACTCTGAATCCAGTCCTGGATGTCCCCCGTTGAAAAGAGGCAAGGAGTGGGGAAGATCCCTAGCTGAGATGGTGAAGGATCGCTACCGGTTCAAACCTCAAGACCAAAAACAACAGCCACACAGACTGAGTCTTGCTGCAAACAAGATGGGACCTCTATTTCTTGCAGGCCGACTAATCAACTCCATTCGGGTCATTTGCTCCAGCTATGAAGATTACCAAGAGTGGTTGTATTATCTCAAAACCGCTCAGTTCCGCCACGCAGATTCCTCCCTCTCAGGATCAGAGAGTTTCTCAGGGTTAAAACCTTCGCACCTGGCGCAGGTAAGGTGCTATTTCCTTTCTAGCTTATAACACAATTCTGCATTATGCGTACCAAGAGAATGACTCTTTGTTTCCCTGGCTAATCCTCTTCCGAGCATAACTCTGTCAAATAGACTTGGACAAGCCATTTTCTCTTAACCCAGGCTGAAGTAACAGCACACAATGGCAGCATTCATTCAACATGGCATGCTTCACAAATAAGCCATCTTCTGGCTTAGTAGGTGGGCTGGGTGCTAAAAACACTCCAAAGCTCAATTTAGCTTAGTATGGTGTGATTCCCAACCCCACCCTCAACATTTGCAGCAGGAGGAAAATTACTTTGGCCTACGAAGCTGATAGATTGTAAATGGCATTCAAGTTCTTAGGTTCAGCTCTTTAAATTGCTGGTCATATTGTGCCAGTCAGCCCTTTGGAGTAGGCCAGATCCAGAAGGGATCTCAGGAATGCTACTTTATTGTTGTAGGGTGTAATAATAGAATCTTGAAAGCCTGCCTGAGTTTCTCACTACTCCATCTTATACCAAGCAAAATCAAGGTGGTTATTGTGAGTTTCTCTCTCACACTTTCCTCTTTCTCGGGACAGAGTAATCTCTTCTTCCCCATTCCCAAGGCCAGGACCACATTCTTTCACCATGCCAATCATTCAAGAGGGTGTTTGGTCTTCTCTCCCCCATCCTCAATTTCCATACATTTTTATTTCTTGGTTGATTTAGTTTTCAGGAAGTGGAAGAGGGTCACTCACCTCAGAGGGCAGAACAAACTCCTGGGCTTCCGCCGGGAAGGGGGCTACATCCACACACCACTCCCAAACCAGTACGGCTTCTTGGTCTGAGAGGCAGTCGTTCGATGCGGTGCCTGAGAATCGGTTAGCTGAAAACCCTCTGCCACAACCAGTCTGCGTAAGTCGGATTTTCGGAATCGGGGTGGGCTTGGTGGGCGAAGGTTTCTTCCAGGAGTAGCACCGACTTCATATGGTCTGTGGGAAGGAAAGGAGTCGAGTTGAATTGAAACCTTGGTTGGAAGATCTGGAAATGTTGCGTGTCCTTGGTCAATCCTTAGAGCCCATCCAAACCGGATTCCCATAATAGATGCTATCAAGAGCTCCTGTTCCAAAGCGTTTGAGTATAACTGCTAAATAAGAATTCCCCTGCTAGAATATTGATTGCATCACTCCATAGAAAACCCTTGTCTCTGGTTTTATATTGATTTCACGGGATTCCAGTTATTTTCTACTTGAAGCTAAAGCTGGCTGGAGATTCTAAGAGTAAAGTCCACCTATCTGGGGGGCATCATTCGACTCTCCAACTTCTCCAGGCTGGCTGGGGACCTCTGGGAGTTAATGTCCACACAAGTGGAGGGTGACCAGATTGGGAGAGGCTGGCCTGAAAGGCTGGCCTGAAGGGCTGGAGATAGAATTCCAAACAGAATTCCTTCTGATTGAATGTTCTTGCTGGTGGCCTACACCTACCAGTATCTCAAGGGTTCTTCAAGCACTCAAATGGTGTCTCCTCTTGTTGCAGTGCCCAGGAAACCGAGTCCTGGCAGGGACAGGAATGCCGAAACCCGAGTTGAAAAGAAAAGGGAGCTCTCGAAAGTCCAAAGGGAAGGGCGGCCCACCAACTCAGCAGCCCCCGTGCCACAGCGAGGACTCTGAAAGGAGCCGCTTCCAACTCATCTCAGAGCGCCCACATGGAGAAGGCGTCTCTCCGGTGTACAATGAACCATACCCAGCCCCCATCCAACAAGAGCATCCTGCCATTCGCCCACTGCATCTGGACTTAAACAATGTACGAGGCCTGTAGATGGGAATGATCTTAGAATTTGGGAAGGGTGCATAGGAATAAAGGCCCTGCTTTGTGTGGCTAACGTATGGCTAGGGTTCAGCTAGATGGGCTGAGGAGAGTCTGGAATGGCCTATGGCCCTGCGAATCCCCAGTCCTTCCAAAGATTTCCTGTGCAGCTGGATTTCTCTTTCAGTGGACTTTTTTTGTCCCCTCTGCAGCTGAAACAGTGGAACACGCCAAGGAGCCAGACCTGCACAGCTCCTCAAACCTTGGAAAATGCCTCTCTGTCTTCTTCCCCCATGTATGCTGACCCCTACACGCCCAGTTCCCCCTCCCCACATGGAGCAGCAGGCTCCTACTTCCTAGAAGAGGTAAGGGGGGCACCTTAAGCAGATGGTAGGGCTTTCCAGGAGAGTCCCAAAGTGATTGTACAAGATTCCTGATCTGCCTGTCGCTGGGGAAAATGAAAGGCTATGTCCAACTGAACTGAAATAAATCAGGCTAAAAGGTTGCCTGGATCAGCATCGCCTTCCCAAAACAGCCCATTAGAGGCTTTCCAGAAACCTGCAAGCAGGTTGTGAAGACCTTTGTTCTTTTTTTACCACGGGTTTTGTAGCCTCCACCTTGGGGTTCCTCACTCATAAAGGGAGAGCACTACTGCATCTTCTGATGAGTTACTGTGCTAGGCTGATCCTCTTTCGGAACAATTAGGCTCAAGAACATGGACATTCTCAGAAATAGGTGGATGGGTGGGTGGGTTTAACATCCCTGGGCACAATTTTTAATTCACTCCAAAATAGCAACCTTCTTTGGATGCCAACGATGCTTCTGATTTAGTACATCTAAGTGTTGGAACTTCTGAAAATGGTAGAGACTCAATAATCTTCTCCTTCTCCGTCTCCTTCACCTTCTCCTTCTCCGTCTCCTTCTCCGTCTCCTTCTCCG